AACTATGTACTACTATGAACTATTCCTATAATGTACTTTCAAGTGTCACAAGCTAAACACTCAGATTGTAATTTGTGTTCCAGACATTCTTTTCTTTTAGCATAACAAACATATACTGCCGGCGTAAAATAAATCAACTGGGTGTCTCCTATTGAGAAAATTAATCCCAGAAATGTTGCAGGTGGCGAGATTCATCCTAGTCAATTTAGTAGGGGATGATGACAACGAATGTTTCTTATGGAAAGCATTCCAGACAAAAATCCCTCACAATTTATTATATGCTTGCACAAGTTCGAACAAACAGACCAAACTGGTGCAACATACTTTTTACGGTCATCTCTAGTGTTGCATAATGTGAATATGTAACTGGATGGCATTTTCATGTGCGTTGTATTGGGAATTCTACTTCTTAATATACTTGCTAGCCAATAGGCAGTAAACATGGAGAGTTGAATATTATGACGCAAAAGTTACTAAGTCAAAATTGAAATTCAGAGCAGATTTGTGGTGAAAACTGACTGCAAGCCAAAAACTGGTAGACAGTAATTTACGTCAATGTTTACGTCCCCAATATTGGTCATGAGAAAAACAAAAACAAAGACTGCTTCAACAACCGATCAAAGCAGACTTTACGTAAGCGGATACAATTTGCAGATAGATAATCTGAAATTCAAGAAACAGCCACAAAGAGCTAAAAGATTAACGTTCAGCGAGAAAACACCAATCAGAAGACTGTGTTTGTTTGTTTACAATAATCTATGAAAATGTACATGAAAATCTATAAATATCTGTTTATTTTCTTCATAAACGATCTGTTGCCTGGCCCTTGTCTTCTGTTGTTACAGATTGACTTGAATGATGATAGAACATGAACTTTTACCCACATTTCACAATTGAGTAACTGATAATTAGTTTTAAGAGACAAAGTTGTTTGAAGGTGACATTAAAATAACATCGAACAACAGTAGTCTCTGATAACACAAAACAAAATGAATTTAGATCATAAAAGAAAATATAACAAGATTGCAGAAAGAATGGATTACAGCTCAACGGGTTTTTTTTCGATAAATAACCTCTAGATGTACTTCATCTCACATCTGAAGATCTACATCTCATCATATGAGAGTGACAAACTTCAACAGGTAGTAACGAGTGAAAATGTGGCTGACTGGCTTGTGCATCAGATTATCAGTCAGTGTTTAGGGTTCGAAACCCGTCCCCACCTACTGCAACTTGCGCAACTGCGTAGTGTCATCAACCCTTCTACAATAAGTGTAGTCCGAAGTCTGGTATGTGGAAAATCTGATCCATGTGACTGAGTTTCAACAACAACAAACAGAAACATTACCAATTAACGTACTTAATCAAACCACTTTGGACTCATCACTTATGCGGGCCATACGCGTAGGCTATAAAGACTGTATCCCTTTTATAACGCTAACTCCGGAGGCATATAATAAATGTGCAATATTTTTTAATAAATAGGATAGTGTGTAGTAGTTCATGTGTAGTTAACGAGACATTGACAGGTTCTTTCTAAAATGGCATATTTCTATTTACATTTCCCAACATAAACATTGGGATGGTTTATTTTATGGTGAGAAAATACGTACGCATATTATTTTGCTAGAGAAACCTGCAACTAAGTTGATACATGTGACCACCAGTTGGTAAGTAGGATACAGAGGACACGTGACTTCGTATCATGATGATTATCTTATTATTTTAAAAGATCGCAAACTGATAGGAGTTAGAATTTATGCGCTATTAGATTCCATCTCAGTGGCTGAATAGTGAATCAGTTCACCTCGTAACTTGACGGTCCTGGGTTCGACCCCCAGTAGTGGGATACAGGTGTATGTCATTGAAGAGTGACCAAACTAGGACGAAGCAGGTGTCCAGTCCTCCTTGGTTTTCAATTGTTCAAACCAATCAAGTCGATACAAAATAACACTTGAAAATATTAGGCTGATCCCCACATAACTTTACTAGAGATTTGAATAGTGATAAATAATATATAAAAAGATGTACATAAATGTGAAATTCGGTTCTGCACGCTCGAATTCCAAATCAAGTGAGAATTTTGTTTAAACAAAATTACCTGGGACATGTTTTGTATATCAGACTAATAGCCACACGCGTATCAGGTGACGGCTGGAGATACTACCCATCTGTCCAGACTGTGTGTGGAATAGGATTAGAACTCAAGACCCATTGACTGAAAGTTGGATGCTTAGGACACATCTTCGTAAATGAACACCCGGTTACCGGGACTCGAGAAATTCAAATAGAAATAATAAATATTTAAAGAAAACCTTTCATGGTCAGTGGACAACTTGTATGAAAACTCCACAATGTCCAAATAAATAAATCAACAAAAAATTAACACAACTGTGAGACCACCAGTCAGAAAACACAACGACCGAATGAGGATAACAACAATGCTAGAAGTCACAGGACTGGGCATGACTAAAATATTAGGATAATAATAGTGTCTATTAACATGCGAAAAGACTGAACACATGTGAGTTGCTGTAACCGATTCTGAGAGAAAGCAGAAATGAAGGAATACCTGAAAACCTGTTCTTAACGCACCATAACATCTGTTATAGAATAAATGGGAAGCATATGTAGCAGCATGTTAACCTGTCAGTGCACAATCGAATATCACACCAAGAGTGTTACAAATGATGAGAGTTAACGAAAACCAAAATGATGTTTCGCTATACATTTCAAGATTTTGTCAACCAGGAGCAATCCGAATGAACTTAGACAGTTTCATGTGTAGACGGAATAATCAATACAATTCACTCAGTTTGTCAAGTTGACAACCAATTCAGACTAAACTGGATGCAATAATTTGGTAGGTTGGAAATGCGTTCACTTTGTCATTTAGTGTTTAGAAAATTCTAAATCATTAACATAAACAATCGTTCGGAAACAACAAATGAAAGTGAACAGTCCCGACAGACAGTATACAACTTCAGCCTTAAAAGCATACTTCAAACTTCGTTAAGTTACAGTTAGACAAATATAATCAAATATGAATGTAAATATCCGGTGCAATTCTTCTACCCTCTTTAAGTGAAGCCAACAGAGAACGGAGTGCCTGATCGCGTTGATCCCATCATCATTTGTTCGAGAACTCTCTTCAGTTGTGGTAATTATCACTGACTGAAAACTACCAATTGATTATTGTTTAGATAAGCGTCAAATATGTCTAAGAAATATCCCATCTATCCATATAGATCAAGAGTAAACATTGTGTTAGGTTAGAAAACCACTGAAGATCAAGGAGTACTGGAGAAGGTGCGAACTGATGAAGAGTCCCAAACTGGGGAGAAACAGCTCTCCAGTACTCCCTGGCTTTCAATAGTTCTCCAACAGATATCAGTGCGTGATAAAACTTGACAGGATTACGTTGTATGAGAAAAAAACTTTATTCGCGTGCCAAGTCCTGAGAAAGAGTATGTGTAACAAAACGTGTACAGTGACGAACAAATTTAGCAATCTTATATTGCCAACATTTACCAGATCTTTTTATGTTACTGTACTAATCTTATTTATAAGGTTCACAGTACACAACCTTTCGATACAAATAAATAAACACTGTAAAATAATAATAATAGCAATACTAGTGACCTTGAAGACCATCTTTTTGATGCAAAAATCAATATTGTATTTGATAATGCACTTAATCAAACTTGTTAGGATAGGGATGATTCTTGGCCAATATATATATTGTAATATACATATATATAATCAACTTCTGTCGATAATAACAATAAAACTGCGATAAGAAAACATTTTAAACATTTATGTACACATATATGCATTCACATTTCCGAAGGTATTTTAAAGGTGTGTTTAGTAGGCCAAAATGCTTTATTGAATGTTTGTTACATTATACACGACTGACTGAAATCAATGACCTCATTAGAATCATTCTTGATGAGATCATCGAGTGATGACCACGCACTGTAACCATTGTAAAACTGCAATGTAACACTATTAATTTATCTTAATCTTCCTACTTAATTGTTTTTTTTGTTTTCAAGTCTTATGATAGCCGATAGAATGTTTAAACGAGAAACTAATAATGACGTACTAAGTATGAGAAATGCATTGTCAGTTTTATTGTTTAACAGCCTACCGATTATCATCTGAAACCCTGTGTATGATTCTAAATAAAGCGAAAATTAGGGTGGCATCTAGACCTACAAACTAGTTCAGGAACAATCACTGTAAGTCAAAAAATCCTATTAACCCAATAAAACACAATAACGTAGTCTAATTAATACCTTACAATGACTGTGAGATCAAATAAATACACAGGTCAGACCAATAGATCAGAGGTAGTCACATTATCGTAGCAGAAGAATTTAGCTAAGTATGGAGTCATAGACACCACGAAGATACTTACTTTACTTTACTTCGGCTATCTCCTACGGGAGGATGAGCCGGCTTCATGAACGTCTCGAATCATCGCTGCCCAGGCGCGGCAATTTGTAAGAGAGTTCATGAAGTTTCATGGGAATTTGGTACGAGTGATGTCCCCAGCATCACTCGGCCTTTTGTTTGAGAGTGCAGCTCTAGCCTTTACACAACCAAGTGTGACCTACAAGGCAGTAGGAGTGGAGTAAGGAGTCCACTATCCATTGGCAGCCGGTGACCGGAGTTCGGTTCATACGCCTTTTTGAATGGGGCCAGACATCCAGGACATCCAACAAGCCCTTTGTCCATACGTCTGCCGGTGAGCTCCAGTGAGCTTCATACGCCAGTCGTTGGAGGTTTGGAATCAGGGTTTAGCCATCTCCCCTAGACCGTCATCCAATGGACAGTCAACCCGGTGGAGAGCGCCAGGCATCCGCTTTCGCCCTCTTACTTTGGTGAGAAACACCTCCGCCACGTGAAGGCAGTGAGTAGGACTTCCTCAGGAGAGGCTATGTAAGACGCCCGGTCATATGGGAGCATTTCAAGAGGTGTGCGGAGGGGTGGCCAACCCACAGCGCAAGGCACCCACCCCCGACCATCCTGAGGCTTTGGAGGCACACCACGAAGATGAACAGTTTATGGGTGAATTCAGCAATCGCAATGCATACAATCAACACACACAGTAGGGTGGGATAGAGCTACAGTTTAAAAAGTTGATCATCGAAGCTTTGCTGATTGAGTCTACACCTATCATGTGCAGTAGGAATGACTCAAACACACAAATACAAGAGATATGGGAAATATCACTAGTAAAATCGGATGATGAGAAGTAATAGAATTATGAAGATAAAATTTAAAAGGTTATATGGATGCCTTGATATGATTATAAACAATATATAGTATTCAAAACATCAATAAATAATGCTATATCACTGTATGATTATATCAAACGAATTTTTGATATTATGGAATCATACTCTACCACAGTGCCCAAGTCTCATTCTTATATTAATCAGTGTACCGTTCACCTCGAAACTAAACACTCTTCTGCGTTCATTCTCCCCTTACCACATTATCAAGTCACAGGGAGCACTTGAGAAAATTCTAAAACAACACACGCATAAATGTTTGATCACTCAACAAATATCAATATATTAAGTGAGGCATATTCGTGATTACAGGCGTAAAAGGATTGAAGGGGGGGTGGGAATATAAATCAGAGGAAAAAAGAAAAATTATTTCGCTGTCAACAAAAGAAATAGTGAAGGTGGAGATTTTCTAACAACGGAAAGAAATTAGAGGTTCTTTTTTAGCTACATACACACACACATATACTGTTGCTAAAACAAGAAGCAAGGTTTGTGGAAACTTTTCCATATATATATATATATATATATATATATAATTTAACAAAATAAACGGAATACAAATGAAAAGCGAAGATGTGTTTATTGACTGTGTTAGACAAAATGAAGAAAGAACTTTGCTGACATTGCATTAAAAAACAAATTTATACACATAAGTAGATGGTGAAACAATAGTATTAAAGGTGACAAAACAAAATAATAATGATGTCATACAGACAAACAAACAAGCTAAACGGACGAATCAATACGACGCTGGAGGTGGGAAGCATAAGAATCATGTTGTAACAACGAACAATTGCACAGTTGAATGAATCAATGAATACACGCATAGCATGGCTAAAATGAAGGAACAAAGGACTACATTTTCTTTCTCTATACATAAACAAAATCAGCTGGTAAACTAATGATGATGTGAATCGTAAACACTCATCCACCAATAGATGTAATGTGTATTATTATACTGTATGAACAGAATTTTCCAGCTTAGTAGGCAATTTCTTTTAAAAAACAAGCGAATTACTTAATTAAAGAAAGGGAGGGAGCAGAAGCAAATACAACAGTGACAACATTAAAAATAGAAAAATCCCAGTGGGTAGTGGTAGTAGTTCTTTACAAATTATTTTAGTCAATTATAGCTATGAAGATTTAACTAAAATAAGGTAAGAAAAAGAACAGGAGAGAGTGATCTTTCCTCCAGATGAAAGATCACAACACAGAAAACAGAAGATCCTAGTTGTTTTTTGTATTTAAAAAAATCATATCATTCAAGGGAAAGCGAAGCATATTAAAATTATTATTATTATTCAGTTGGCAACAGATCAACAACTTCAACAAGGATGTAGAATAAACAAATCCAGGAGTAAATTAGACCACCACAATATTCATTAATTACTTACTTGCTATTAATACTAAATTGTGTGAAAATTGTTCCTTTTTATGCGAAATAACCAATAATTTTATCAAGAAAGAAAAAGAACCAGAAGGAGAAATTATGATCACACTCTAACAACATTACGTAAGCGTAACTAATCGGTGTGTGTGTGTAACTTACAGGCTAGCAATCATGAGAAATTACTTCTTTTATAATTATTATCACTCACTCACTCCCTCGCATACACGCAATAGGACTTTAGCGTAGAAAACAAGAAAAAGACAATTAAGGCACAGCCACTTTCATCAAATCTATTAACTGGCAGCTGTTGTAGATGTATAGTGTGGTGCTTCATTAGCATGTTGACGGGAAAGAGTAGTCTCACTATAATATGGAAGTGGTGGGGCAGGAGGTGAAAGCAAAAATCTTCGTGTTGCAAATATACCGCACAAGATGAAGGAAAATGGATTGATTATTTCGTTCATGATGAGTACTGTTGTTTTTCTTTGCTCATTTGCTCTTTGATTTATCTTTAGGTTTCAAAGAGAATGATGGGAGTTTGAAACGCCTTTTCTTTTTCTTATGTTTACCCTAAAGAATAGAAAACAGATATAAAAGTAATACGGCAAAGGGCATTAGGATGCAGTGAAAGTGAGAAAGTTTTATGCGTGAAATTAAATCAACAACAGGATAAGTGTAGGAATACATTTCATATTATACAGCAATTTCTTTAGGCAGGTTAACTTCACAATTAATAGTCCAATAAAATAAAGATTATTAATGTGAATGTAGAACTTGGGTACTTGTAGTAGGAAATAATTCCATACTAGATAAGTTTAAAGTTTTACATTCACACAGCAATACAGTATTAACGACTGGCGCTAATACTGCATCACTGTGTGAATTTAAAATAAACTTATGTAATATGGAACTGAATAAAGATCTTGTTGGCTTCTCATCAGCTGCTTACAGCCTAAATAAATTGTGAGGTTTAAGTACAGACATGTTTTAACATACTTGCAAATTTTACATGTTGTCAGTTGACAGAAAATTCCACAATTAGTAAACAGTGCTCAGAAGATTGCGCTTATATAGTTTTCACACAGGCAGTTCAAGTTAAAACAAAATGTGTGCAGAAAATGGTAATCTGTAATTTTGCTTGTCTCTTGTTTCTATGATTTGAGCTCAACTCAGTACATTGTTACCTAAATTACCAGTCACTATGCATCTAACGCACATCTCATCTTTATTATGTAACTCCTTTACCATTTTCTGCACACATTTATTTTGTTCTAACTTGAACTGCCTGTGTGAAAACCATATAAGCGCAATCTTCTGAGCACTGTTTACTAATTGTGAAATTTTCTGTCAACTGACAACATGTAAAATTTGCAAGTATGTTAAAACATGTCTGTACTTAAACCTCACAATTTATTTAGGCTGTAAGCAGCTGATGAGAAGCCAACGAAATAAATGATGGTACCACATTATTCTGCTAAAACTGTAGTTCTTGCTTTGTTCAAATTCATTAAGGGGAATAAATGTACGAATAAAGATCATTGTTGCTAAAGTTTATAATTGTCTATTCAGTTGTCCACACCATAAGTTCGTTTATTACTGAGATTTAGATATACATACTGAGCTTTATTTTTACCCTGCCATTGACTTATTTGCTTAAGCATTCAACTCTCAGCCTGCGTTCTATCTCCCGTGTGAAGTGGTATAATAAGGTGAGCAAATAGAGGTTAGGCGTCGAGTTCTAGGTTAGGAGGGGAAATCAATCGACGAGGTTGTGAAGTTACATAGACTGAGATGGTTAGGGCATGTGTTACGTATGCCTAGTCATCGCCTTCCTTGACGAGCAATGTTAGCGGATATAGGGTCAGGCTGGAAAAAAGCTAGTGGAGGTCAAACCAAAACATGGCCTAACCAGTCAATGAAATCCACAACAGTTAGTCTAAGCCAGCCACGTAGGAAGGTGTAGACTTCCTGACTGGTTGGGGTCCTCGGGACAGTAAAAACCTATGGTTGGAAACAATTGGTGACATGGCTCAAAATCGTTCTCAATGGCTGGTGCAGATGCATCCACTCCTTGTGACTTATGATTTCCAAAGAAACTATTTTGTTCTTCATCATTACTATTCCTTTGTCTCACACCTCTGCTTACTGTCTCTACTATGCATTCCTTCTATTTTCTTCTCTTGCTTTGTGTGCTACATGGAATGTGACGACTTGAACTGCCGCAAAGTTCTATGTCGAAAACAAACAGACAGACTATCAGCCAATGAGTTCAAGAGTCAATTCTTGCTCCACTCACTTTAACCGCAAACCACTGGGTAGTATAACTAGCCCCCCCCCACATCCTGGTAATTGAGAGTTCTAACCATCACTAGTGCTACCACTGGTTGTGATTATCTGAATAAAACTCTAATGTGTGTAACTTAGTAACTATGTAAAGATCACGAGAGACAGTACGAAAGTCATATCTCTGTCAACGGTATATCAGTCACCATTTGGTATATTTTATAAGAAGGGCAATTTAATAACAGATAGTTGGAGGCAGTCAACAGGAAGCCCTGAACTTCCATGATTCTTAACATTTGTCACTAAGGTAAAGGGGATACGCTAGGTTTAGACCTCGTCAATTGCCTCCAATCGGCCGTGGCTAATTCAAAAAGTGTACAGCGGTGGTTAATCTCCTGGTTTGGTGACCACACCGCAAACTGACTGATAGAAATTATTCAGAACCAAAACTAAGAACTAGGTACGAGACACTGGTTACACACGCTCCTGCTCTGGTGACTGGTGAGCTGAATTATTAACTACTACCAAAATTACCGACTTACATCACTTTCACTTATATCTTCCGCTCCACTCGGCTCTGATGTTAACGTTCCCGTGGCAGTTGGTGGTGCCAGACGACCTGTATAACATGAAAAGACATGAAAAGCGTACAATTACATTATTTCTTAAGAGATATATCAGGACAATATCAGTAGTAGTAATAGTGGTAAAAATATTATCATTACAGTTTATAGTGATCAACTAAACTAAGACTACAGAACTAGTTAGTTATGATAAAATAAATACTAATTAAAATATATTCAACCGACCAGTAATTGGACTATCGACTGGATATGTTTCAGAATGACGAATCTCTCCAACCATTAATTCATGTGGTTCATGTAAAGATGGTGATAGTTCAGACAGTTGTACCAGAGAATGAGTCGCTGAAATCATCGTCCCACAGGAGTAAGTATGTGCAAATAGGAGGATACATTCCAAAATTTCCACCAAATACGAAGAAATAGTGGTAATCAAGCAGGCAGGCAAATGTGATGAAGCGATAAATAGATGAAGCAAAGAAAACAAATATATATCAATAAAATGAATGATATAATATAACCAATTTAATAACAATCACCATAAACGAATAACTATGACAATGGTAATGATGGCGATAATGAAAAAAAATTATGGTGGGTTAAATTACTGATGATAGCATGGCATGCAATGATTTATTCTATCAATGGATGAATTGCAATTCCAGTTAAATGTAAATGAGTAGATATATGACAATCACAAAAACAGTCTGAAGGTGATTCACTTTGCTTTGGGGGTAAATAATAAACACGCATGCAGATGAGCAATTATCAATAGAGCAATGCTCGATTTTATACAAATAAAGACAACGAGGCAAATTGGAGACCAATACACTTGCAATATATATATATATATATATATATATATATATATATGTCCATGGCATCCATTCGAATAGATCATGCGATGACGTACAATTTCATAATTGTCATTATTCATGTAAGCGTTCATGCCAACAGGAGATAAGTCAATAAAAAACAGACGTAGAAAAGTTATCTGTATGTCTTCTGGATTACACTGCTAGCTACCAACAACCAAATAACAGTTCGGAAAAGGTATGCGCATATAAAGTAAGATAGAGACAACCACTCACTTACGGATTCATGAAAAAACGTAACCTAGCTTTCGTTCTCTGATGTGACGCACTTCTGTGCAACGTTCTATGTTGACACTCAGGTTCGTGTGCATTTCGGATTGTGAGGGCGATTGTTACTTCCCAGCTGCCCACACCGTGGAAGTTGGTTGCGTGACCGCAGAGCCCAGGGGACAACTGCTTGAGGCCGATCGCACGCGACTTGTTTTTGTTTGTTCTTTATTGTTTGGTGTGTCTCAGTAGCATATTTATCACTTCTGCCCTGTGACACGGCAGCAGAAAGCGCGGTCGTTGTTAATCCGGGCCCCGACCGATCCGGCATGATATTTTGTGATTTGGTTTCAGTCATAGCAATGGATTGGGTGGCTGCTTTCTGTCTAACCGCTATTCAAACAACCTTTCTAGCATAGTAGGACCTCAAGCGACATAAGTCTCAGCCAGTATAGTTTGTTGGGTCATTGCGGTGTTCAAGCCCGACCATCACGTCAAGGTAGTACCTTTCGGTCGGGTGTTGACACTCAGGCAATCAGTTCATTCGCCATTATATTAGCATTAAGAATTGGAGAGATTTTATAATCATATATATATATATATATATATATAACCTAATTAAGTAAGCAAACAATCTCAACATTCTCATTTGTATTTCCGCGTAGTATATGAGTTAGTATCGATTATGTAACAGTCTCCACAAATAATTCCCAAAAAATATCGATTGCCACAATGAAAACGGTAGTGTAAATTCCACTTTACAAGTCACTAACGAAATAGATATGATATCATGAAAATTTCCTAAAGACAAAATATATCCCAGAACTTTTTCTCAGATGAACAATTCCTTCCTTTACAGCAAACTAAAAAGGCTTTAAAATATAAAGATAGTAAAATGAATGGAACCGATAAACAAAGCATACCTGGACCAAGTTCACTAGCACTTTCTAGGTCTGTAGCTCCACTGTCAACAGCTAGCGAATCCATAAGATGTGTAGTATTACTAGGTGCTTCGAAAGATGTATCCTGACCAGCAGCATGATGGCGACGATCCATTTCAGCAAGTAATTCAGGATTATTTTTCAGTTCTATTTCACGTCTATACATTTCTAATTCTTCATCTGTAATTTTCTCAAATGGATTTTGATGGGAATAAAGACCCTATAAATAAAGAAGAGGGGAATGTAAGCAAGGTGTTGTTAAGCCTGAATATCACTCCAGAGGGTACAACACAAAGAGTGATAGTCCTCTGTAATATGTAATGAATACAGACTACCAAAGTGAGAAAGTAGGAGGGGAATTAAAGGTTATTCTTCTACCTGTGTCAAAAAATTAAAACAATAGCAGAACAGCAGTGTATAAGAAGCGTAGTAACTTTAACGCTCCATACTGAAGATCAGATGGTTAGAAAGGACTTGGTAACAAGGAACTCTGCAAATGAACCAACCAACAACCTATCGCCCAAGAAATATGCAGAGGAAAATGGGGATGGATCAAGCATACACTGAGGAGACCGTTGAGTGATATCACGCACCAGGTCGTCGAGTGGAAAATGAATGGTAACCGAACAGTTGTACGTTGCACCGAGAGTGACATGGAAAAGATCGTGTGAGGAGGAGATTAGAGTTTATGGGTGGTTGGGGAGCGACTCCAATAAAATATGAACCCCCCCCCCAAAAAAATAAACAGAAAATAAGAGACAACTTACATCATAGATAACTGCTGCATTACGAACATCACGCTGGATGATTGCTTTACTGGCTGCAGCTACAGGCATTTCACTAGTAACTCCGCCCGCTACTAAAGCAGCAGCTCTTGGACCGAGCACTTTCACTAGGCCTTCGTCACGAACACGTCGAGCTTCATCCCATGTAAGACCATCCAGTAATCGGGACTGAGGTCCTGCTGTATTGGTATCATGGTAATACTTTGCTTTTACCTATAAGGAAAAGAAATAAAACAATGCCAACTATTATCATCAGAATTCACTAATACAGATAATGCACTTCTAGAGTTAATGCCATTGACTAGAGTTCATAAAAAGTCGTTTTGCATCTTGAATATCCTGTTGAAAGCAACATGATAAATATGACAATATCAATCTCTATCACTGACAGCATTTGGAAGTGCTGATCATTTGCTTGTTGGAACTTGTACAACGCACAGAGGAGGATGGATCATGATTCATGTTCGAACAGGTTTAGAATGGTAATTAAAACTCATTACGATTACAAAACGTTATATACACATACCACATAAAGTGTGTATCACCGAACATAATCAGGCGAAATTAAACGATACCAGCCAGCACCAAGAGCCTTCTCAATGCTCCCTGAGTCGAACAGTCACGCTATCGACTATGAATGTTGTATATGCATTGCGCTCACAGTTTTCGCTTGATCTGGTTCTCTAGTTCTGTGAAAATAATGGATTATTTATTATCCTTAACTGGAAACTTTTCTTACACCAGTGGCTGTCCAGGGTTATATGGAAGGGTCTTAGTGTTGACTCCTATAGTTTGACATTCTCCCATTTTCGTATTTGCTCCCCGAGGTAAAATGAAGGATGGAATCAAAATAAACAACTACTTATAGATGACATACGCTGGGGATAGTTACATTTATATTTACGCTACCCTGATCCGCTGTAATTAATTTCTAACCGTGTCGCCAGAAATTTCCAGTATTGGATTTGTTACATTGTGGATAGCAAGTGAGAGCCGCTACTTCCTAGTGCTACGAATCGGAATATAACCTGAAATGTGTGTTTGTATTCCCAGGGATGAAACGAAGGTTACAGCTTTTAATTAATGTGCTTGAGAGGCAGGAACAAGGCATCTGTGTACTGAAGTCGTTGTCAAACATTACATAAATACACAAAAACATGTATTGCGTAGGATCTAAACATATAAGCACTTGTGAAAAAGAAATAGATCTTACCTTCTTCTGTTGGTCACGATATTCTTTCGGATTAGACCCTTGAGGGGCGAAAACATTGTACGGTGAGAGGACTGAAGAAGTGCCTGTCGCTGGTCCACCAGTCGAACCAAGTGGTACTGCTCCATGAGTTAAAGGATGAAATGGTGCTGGTGGAGGCAGAGCGCCATTACATATTGCATTATGAACAGCCGCTTCTCGTTCACAAACCCAGTGTGAGACTGGTTGATGACCTGGGGCAGGTTCAATTACCTCCTTGGTGTATTTATTTGGTGTATTGAACCATCGCTTCTCCGAAAATTCGCGCCTCAGAGTTCTGAAAAATATATGTTTACCTTTAGAATCAGCCTTACTTGGATAATGCAAAAATATCTGAGAAATAGCAGTAAACAATACTACAATTATAGGCACGAAGATCACTTCCTAAATGACACAATAACACAACACTTACTAAAAGGCGATGGGCTAGTGAAGTAAGAACTGTGAATTATAGGGTCATAAAGTAATACAGAATATATTCAGGTATGTAAATTGGTAAGTGAACACAAAACTGTTATGTCTTGTTTCTGTGACTTCCACATAGGACATCAACAATTACAATGAATTGCGTTTTGCGCATCAAAACAACGCTGGTTATGATGTGTTGCACTAATGCCGAATCAGTTATCTAATTGAAGGAAATATCTTTTCATTAAAGGAATTTGCAAAAAGAAAAAAATGGACAAATCGAGTCAGTTAACTTTAACACGTCCTTGTTTTATTTAACATCTATGATATTGAGTGGGTGGCTTTTCAATACAGGTGATGATGAAATCTCAGTTATGAAAAGTGCTGGTGTTTAATTTTCCAGGCATTCTTTCGATGTGCTATTAGATTGTGTTGTGAGGCAGCGACAGAATAACACCATAAACGGGTGACATCTAACCACCTGAATTGCAAGAAGAGAAAGAATAACCTTAGTTAACGGATTATATGGTTAAGGTCGACTACGTGGGACAGATTCGTCATGCACCAGGCTAAGAGCCAAACTTATAGTATGGGGGCTGATGATACTACCCAGTCACTCATACTGAAGCAGGTGGTAGGGGGACTGGGACCTGTGTGTGACTCATGTACTAAAATCCGACTGATTGGGCCTATGAACCGCATCTCTGAGGACTATGTAGTATCCTGATAGTCTATGATCGCAAAAATACTGACTATTACCCAGTCAACATAATATTAAGTTGGCTGACAAGATGTAATAGAGGTGGAGATTAAATACTCAGAAATTAGCCTGACCACTTGTTTTCCACGAGGGTTATATATTTCACTCTTTCAGGACAACGTTTACACTCAAACTATTTTGGTTTCATGTAGTGAATCCAGTTGGCTCAAAGGTTAACAGTGGTAAACACCATTAGCTCCATGAGATTTTCGACTATCAGTAATTACGTATCAGTAAAGAATCACATGAATTTTTCGATTGTACATATAGAGGAATTTTTTACGCGAGCGCTAGCCCTGATTCATGATTCTCGACATTTTTAACTTTCCTTATGATTTGAAGAATAAATATCAAAGTTAGTAAATTCCAACCATTTATCCACACATCAGTAATACCGACGTAAAATACACACTAACCATAAAATCGTTTACAGATAAGATTTAGTATTACTTAATCATATAAAATAATAAAACCAGTGAAATATATTTCATGTATAACTACTACACGAATATGGTGAAAATGCGTTAACTGAAGTAAGTATTCAGTACTTTTCACTGTATCAAGATGAAATGAAAATGTTAAAGGAATTAGAACCTGTTATACTTACGAGGGTCTAGGTGTGTCAGTCTCATCACCTGAAAGAACTCCATCATCATAATAGTAAGCCATCGTAGCAGTTACAGATGATGCAGATGGTGGAATTTGTATTTCATCATCTTGACTACTGGCTCCATGACCGTTTATAACTCTGCTTTTTCGAGATCGATGTGGACTTGCCATAGCCTCCTAAAACAATCATACAGAAAGACAAAGTAATCGAATATGTTCGTAAACTATAAATATTGCAATACTATATTGTCCCATTACAGTGTAGTAAACTAAACGAGTCTATATACACTAAACTCTCTTGTACATGGAATGAGTGCCTACTGACTACTTTATTATCGAAACTTCTCTAGAAAAATAGTTACCTTTTTTGTATTTTTCATAGACTGTATTCTACCTGTGCATTCCAGATGATTTTAAGGGTAGATATTCAAATTTCAAATGAAATTGGAACAGTAAACCAAGCCTTAATCTGTTAACAATAACAGCTTTTCTGACAAATGGGCGCTATGCAGAGTAACTTACATTCATTTCGCAGAACATAATCCGTAACTCTTAGTTATAAGTTGGGTTTTAAACCAGAGGCTACAAACGATTGGAATATAAGTACACAACGACCACTGACAAGGTACAAATCACAATCACTGTTTCATATTTCTGCATATTATCGATATATTTAGAAGGTTAATTGGTCGATTAGAACACTTATCCATCTACCGAAATACGAAGTTGGCAAAGATGTCTTACAGAGTTACTAAACATTGTGCAGTCCACCACTATAGGAAAAAATCAACTACTCTTCTTCAGAAAAAGGACACATTGACTAAATAATAAGGGAGAAGTGGAGACTCAACAATACCTGTCTGTAAAGATGGCCTGTACGGCATCCAGCATTGTCTAAATGACGCATCATAGCTTCGAATTCAAGCTCACCAAGTCGCCACGGCCTTGTTAATGTGTTTTCTGCATTTGAACGATCTGATGCGAATCCATTTGTCGCAGAATGATGTCCTTTTTCATCGCTGTGAGATTTATTAGGTGAAGACAGCCTCATTGCTAGTGCAGCTTCTGGTCCACTAAGACCACCCAACCCTGCTGTTCTCCAGGTTTCATATGTTTTTTGTTTCAGTTTCTCCGTTGGAAGTATAAGGTTTTCAGAGCCCACTGAGGCTAACAAAAGCTAAATGAAAAGTAAAATATTTTTTTTAGACATAAAGATAACTAAATCACCAAACTCGACGTATAATATCGCTGAAAATTTAAGAAAAACTGTAGACAATAAGTGATTTAGGCAAATTTTCCTAACCTTAGTGAATACAGTAGAACTAGGTGCCAATCACATTGCTACACATACGTCACTTGATCTTGGAGTACTTTTCAAAAGAAGCCAAAACATGCTCTTTAAGCATCACCTTGAGATGGTAAGTCACAGTAGGTGATTTAATTTGTCGATTAAAGGCAGTAATTCTTTAATCCTATCGTAGACTAAATTTATTTATTTATTTAGCAAGCCCTGTTTGCAGGATTTACTCGCTACGATCTGTCTAGCGCAACGGTTACACACAATATTTTTTTCAATTTACAGACTGCTGGAGTTCAAAGATTTTCAGTGTCAATGACTGGCATATGTATACACAAACTTAACATGAGCTCTTTTAACTAAACCTTTACATATGACATCATAAAGATTGTTCATGAAGTGATATTCCAGAATTCCACCCATATATGAGTGGATGCATCTGCACCAGTCACTAAGAACGATTTTGAGCCATATCACCAATTGTCTCCAGCCACTGATTTTTACCGTCCCGAGGACCCCAACCAGTCAAGAAGTCTACACCTTCCTACGTGACTGGCTTCAACTAACTGTTGTGGATTTCATTGACCGACGAGTCCATGTTTTGGTTTGACCACCAGTGGCTCTTCTCCAACCTGACTGTGTCAGCTAATATTACCCGTCGAGGAAGGCGATCAATGGCTAGGCATACGTAACACATGAACTAACAAAACCTCACACACAATTTACAAAACAATTATTTACTTGAGTATCACATGCTACAATCGCATTGGTTGCATAATGCCACGCCTCTTCAACAGTCTCACCCAAGGCAAGCAATCCCAAACTTCGTAGAAACAGAATACGAGCGGTTGGACCTAAGGCTTCACTAACAGCTGCGCACTCAGCTGCCCAATCCTTAGCATCGCTGAACTCCCCATTTGTATCATTATTCGTTCTGGAGTTCAATCCACCGGTTGGCGTATAATATGCAACTTCGCCCAAGATCATTGCTTCGTTGCACAAAGGCAATAAACCAGACTTCATACAAGATACCTAAAAAGAAAAGCACAGAGGGCATTAAAACCTGATAAAGTTGTATAGATATACTAAACTAAAGAATAAATTGATAAATGGAATACTACTCAAGAATCACTTGCTTTTTAAAAGCAGTTAGCAATGGACCACATTTAATGTGATACTTCCAGGTTCTAAAGCCTGAATAATTGGGATTTGAGTGTCTACTAATTCAACAAGTCGCATTTCCAAATTGTGTTTAGGTATATGAAAGGGAATCATAAACCGTAATCACAAATGGTATTTACCACTCAAATGCTTGAAATTAAGCCGATCAATTTAGTGCTTTTCACTCATTCTGATTTTCAAATACCATAGCCTCCGTTTGGATCGCCTTTCTAAACATCAGTTGGAAACACGTAATGGAAACTTCGTAAGTTCTCCACACAAGAAATCGAGAAAGATTCACGCTAAGGTTAAAATGGTATGAAACATTTTTGTCGAAAAATACCCATTTGATGCTTGTTATGAGAACTGGTAAGAAAAACAAAATACAAATGACGTTATCTCCTAGTGCACTAACATGGTAGTAATGAGAAGATACAAAATAACTATTGGACATAATATTTACTCTTAATATAATTAACTAAGGATCAAGAGGTGAGCAAATAGAAGGCTTAAATTAAGGACTAAGATAGAGTGTGTGTGTGTGTGTATGTATCGAATGGATTATCTGAACTGAAATATTTCGAAACGTTTGGAGAATTCGTAAGTGGATTATGAAAAGTGATTCTTACAGCAACGGTTGATGGAGTATCCAAATGTATTATGCATCGTATATCTGCTCGAGCTGAATGTACAGCAGAGTGTAAAGCCCATGTCGCTTGGTTGACACCCAGTATAGTAGATCCTGGGTCAAGTATTTGACCTGTTAAATGAAAAATAAAAAATTATTAGACACACTTTCGCATAAGATAGTGACCAGCACTTCGTCCAACATCAAATGACATCTAAGGTCTACAATTCTTGTGAATATGACCGTCAGCATTTTTACATATAGAGTAGACTAGTTCTAAGAACTTACGTTTGCCATAATATTAAGCAAAAAACGTTACTTGTCATATTAGAATTCCGATGAAAAATCCCTTAATGACATTGATTGATAATTCTCATTTGATTGCATGGAGGATTTCATCATGAGTTAGAGAACCACTGGTTAGGCAACAAAAGACTTAAAAAAGTCAAGCACACTAATTTCTAAGTACTGATTAAACAAGTTCATGAGTATCACAGCAATTCATTGCATTTATGTGCAGCCCAATAGTTCTGAAATATGTTAGTCGAGTATCCTTCACACTCGCCGACCAGTAATTGACATAGTTTCGAAGCGTAACTTGTTTTCCCCACCATGCTTTAGCATTCTATCGTCAGACAATTTCGTTTAGTGAATTCAAACATGTTATTAAAAACAAGAACAAACGAACGAAACAACATTCGGCAGACGGTTGGCTTCATCAGTTACTTGATTTCTAACATAATCCAGTGAAGGAGCCTAAAGATTATTGTGATCCGTTGATAACTCAAGTCTCAAATTAAAAGTAATTATATCTATAGTCAATAATTTAAACATTTGCAAGAGTAAACTAGAGAAATTGGTGAAGTGTTAATTGTGAAATTAATTACGTGAAACAGCTCTTGTGTGTACCAGATAAAAAGTCGCAGTTATCGTGTGAGGTTACCTAGTTGCCCAGACTGAAGTAAGTGGAGAGGGAATTCAACAAGTGAGTCATTGGTTGAAAAACATCAGTTTTTGATGTATATGCGGTCACCACCACGTTAGCTTACCTTTGGAGTCAACTTTTATAAGAGAAGAAGCAGTTATCTCATGATAAAGCAGGCCGAAAGGATTCACTAGGTAATGTTCATGATTGCGGCTTACACATACCTGAAACAACAAAAACAATGACGGTGTAACTAAATAACTACCCACAAAGTATTTACAAAATGTAACGAAAATTAAGGTACGAAATTAAAGGTACATTTTATGTTGTACCAATATATTCTTTTGAAACTTATATTAAAATGATACAAGACAGTCGAAGAGAGACTCTGGTCTAGTGAATATTCTTGTGTAAACTGATACCATAGTAACGGGTAGGAGAATAGTACCATGCCATAATGGGATGAATCCAACATTTAAAATTTGGTAGAAAAATTATTAAGCGCATCTTAAGATCTAGGACAACCACGGCACTTCCAAACACATGCATCAGGAGTACGATTGATATTGAGTTTTCTTACACTGTTTTTATTATCGTGACGAACTCTTGACCAGTGTTAACAAGCACTAAATTCAGATTCCGATGTTCCCATTGACTGCTTCAAACTACGAAAGTTGCATACAGCTGAATGTAAATCTTCGAATCTAAATTTCACACTGAGTGCAACAATTTCCTCGTAATTTTACTAGACCACATGGAAACTTCAAAACGACAAATGGTAATTCATCTACATATGCACGTTCTGATAAAAATTCCGCATAAACCTCATTTATTGGTGTCTTTAGAACATATATACTCGTTAAATTGTTTTGCGAAATTTAAACTCGTTGGTTTGCCACCACAAACCCTGAAGAACGGTGGTCAGTAACCACGACTCATAGTAGCATCAAATGAAGTAAGAGAATCAGAGATAACTCAGGTGGCAATTCTAAATTGTAAACAGAAGACCCTTGCGATATTCGACAGGATTCCAGGATCCATGTTTGATTGACGCCTAAATAAAAAAGAATTGATTCAGCTGGTACATTTTTAAGTACTCTGTTTGACACCGAAAGGATATCCGATTATCAAAACTCAGATGCCGTAGTGAGCAGCAATCCGGTATGTTCATACAAGCATATTGTGCAGTTGAATTCATTTCGACGTTGCGATTCTGAATCCATGGGCATTCATAGATGAGTTTTTCAAATTGTCTTATAGCATTAACATTTCTTATCACTCCTTGATTACCCTTTTTGCTTTTGTGAAGTAGGGCGGTGTAGGCCAGATAAGTGAAGCAGATAGGGAATATAGTGATTCACCGAGTTGGAATGTACTGTTTCACATGAAACTACCCACTTAGGGTTGATGGATGTGTTACCTGTTCAGGCAAACTAATTACAGCTACTAAGTCAGAAGTTCAAAGCGTGATACTTATTGTGGCTTGAAACGCTGATAGTAATTACTAACTACGACAACGATATTTTCTAAATTTACTTATGAACTAGCACACGACTGAATAGGTGTATAGTTCTTCTGTTGGTTTTCTAAGCTCATTAGCTGAATGCATTCTTGAATACAGCTTATATAAAGTACTGTTTATCGAAATATAGTTAGTGAGATGAGAAACCAGAACAGTCAAACACTTGACTGACCTTTATGTTTAAAGAATTAGAAGTTAGCATCATTTATCTTCTTTATCAAATCATTATAATTTAGGTCAAAAGGTACTTACAGTCACATGGTTATAGATACTAGAATTCCAACCAAAGAGGTCGATTAGACGATATACTGAAGCCAACTTGCACCGAAGAGAACGCTCGCGACGAGAATACACAGCAGCATCACCACCACGAAGGTCGTTTATGGGAATAACACCACTTCGATGGCCTGAACATAAATAGTATTATGAACATGACAGACATTCACATATGAAAATACATGAGAAATAGTAATACTAACATGCGATATTGACCATTTACACTACCTCCCTTCGATAAAATTCAGTAAAAGACGTACATTGCATTATTTCGAACCAACATAACATTCGTCCCCTTACACATTTTTAACTAGAAGTAATAGATTTTCGCCTTGGCACTCCTGTGAACATTATGCAACCACTTGAGTCAATCCCAAATGTGAAAGTCCGGGTTAGGTACTAGGACACGCCTCCAATAAAAAGCGTGGAACATATGGTTACATATCGGGTGTAACTGAAATAATATATATGGAAGGAATGTATCACTACACTCAACATGGCTATACAACTATCCAGCAAAGAAGGGTAACGATGCATTCACAAAACTTAATAGTCTACATCATGATCTAATGATCCTGTTATATTTCAGAGTAGCGCTAAAATAATGGTGGTATAAAATATCATGTATGTTTGCATCGCAATATGATATGGCAGTCTTGATATGATTATGAGCAATATGCTAGAAACGTCATCAGTAAATACTACTGCAAAACACTGTGTGACTATCAAAATAAATTTTATCCATAATGGAACATGAACGCACCCCTGAAGTCTACAAAGCAAGTTCGAATGCATATGTTTAGGACAAACTTCGTAAAACATGGGCACCGAGAGATACGCGGCATGGTCGGTATCCTAGGGTACTAGGTTAGACGTCTGTACCTAAGTACTCTCCGAGGATTTTGTGGTTCGCTGTTTCATAGCTGATAAGGAATCGATATCTAGGATGTATAGAAATAGTCCTTGCATAGGTTGGGAATAGAGATGGTCGCTCACTGAAGTGTTTACACTGAGTGAGGTCTGAAATCTCATATGAGCACGTAACCCAAAACGATTTCTTTCTTTCAGCTACTACTGAAATAAATATGAAGTAATGAAGTCTATTAAGATAGACATGCATATAACGTCATTATTGAGTTCTTCAGTTATTTTGTTTTCGATGCCATTATATTTAAATTTATGACAAAATAATCATACAAAAATAATGTACTAGAAAGGACACTGGAATTTTCAGTGACATGAGAGACGCAAAAACTAACAGAAGTTTGTTGACCTAGTTATAATTTTGACAAAATTTTTTTAAAGACGTGATGCCAGCTTTTCAAAATATAAAGAGAAAGATTGTCTTTAGTGTCACTTTTGCAGCAGAGGTCATTTGATTTCTCCAGGAAAAACAAAACTAGTAGTTCAGAGATGGCACTCCAAGACACTGAAACAACACTAGAACAAACTAAGCACTTATTTACCATTATCGTCACAGCTGATAACCACACTTTACGTATTGACATTTACGGGGATCATAGATTTTATTCTAGCTAATGGTTATAGAATGTGTTATTAGGAATGATACATTCTGTAGCTTTTAATTTTCCACAATTGAGGTATAATTGCAAAGACGCTGTCTTTCAAAGATTGCAGACACAATTTGAGAACGGTTTCCTTTGCGTTTTTAATGTGTATTTCTTTGTTATCTGAAAGAGGGGGACAGATGGAAAATCACGTTCACTATGTCGCTTATCTTGCGGCTCACATCAGGTCTGGTAGGACGGTGGCCAACTAGTTGACAGCACAGACACAAACAAATCGACTGGCTCTCGCAGAATTGTTAGGTCGTTTATTTAGAACGTATATTACAAGACTATGTGCATTTTTCTCCTTAAGTCATGGAAGATACCTTCATCGAGTGGATCAGCTGAGACATACTACTCGTATCTCCCAACTAAGAACCAGAAATTACTATTTAAGCGAAGACATGGGTATTTTGGTAGAAAGCAAAGAGTGTAACACCAAGTCATGACAATGATACATAGTCACTGGGAGTTTCCCTTAGATTGCCTAAATGGGGTCCACATAACAAAGACTTACGGATAAGAGCTGTCACAATTATGCCTAAAGTCGTGCATTTGAATTTGTTTTAACCCCATCTTAGCCACATTATCTCATTTGCTTCTTTGCATTTCCTAGTTTTCTGGGATACTACAACTATTGGTTGTATGATCCTCTTATTACTGCATTACATATGCAAATTTGTGACACACACTACCACTTGCAAAGCGATGCCAAGTCGCGTCAACACTCTGATACTGAAAGTCTGCGAAAGAAAGTTATGGAAGGGACAATCTACATGAAACCAAAAACATCTTGAAATCTTGAACTAAATAAGTCAAAAAAACCACAAATGGAGTGGATTTTACAAATAATAGAGAGTAACTTACCTCTTGAAAATCCACCTCCACTGACAGGTTGTCCAGAAGGAGCAGAAGTAAATAAATCCGATATGTGCTGAAGAGAGAGGAGGCTGGTGCTCATGCCAGGGTAGTCGCCCGACTGACACTGTGATCGTACTACCTCTTCTAGTTCACGTCGAAACGCTTCAGACTTTAATATGCCTGATACACGCCTTCTTTGTATCATTAAGTTAACATCTTCTTTGATTGCAGCAGGGCGCATCAAACTCTTTTGATACTCTGGATCTTCAGGGTCTGTGGGAAGCTAGGTGTAGAAAAAGGAACTAACCAATCGTATTAATGAACTTTTCCGGCTTATCTGATAACGTGACACCATTGACAGCATTGCTATCTGGCATATTTGCTGAAACAAATAAGTACAAGTGTCAAGACAAATTGTCTGAGAAACAATCAGGAAAAATCAGGGACGAAATAATCCAACCAGGCCGCCGAAACTGAAAGGCGCCATGTACCTGATCAATAAAGAATATACTGTTCAAACAGTTAAAATATTTTAAAATAGCTCTTAAACACATATTGAAGGCTTGCATTTAAGTGGCTTCAGAGTGTATTCATATACCTTTGCACCCATAAATTTTTACTTAGGTCAAATTTTGGTTCTAACAGTAAGCGTATAGTGCGCTTGTGCCTTGTTCCAACTTACAATAAACTTTTACAGCCTAGTGCAAACTAAATTGATTTTTTGAGCTCTCTTCGCGATATAAAGATAACGGGTCCTGGCCTTGGATGAGTTTCTGAATAGCATGTTTCACCAGTGTCCTATAATAGCTCTAGTAAACCCATAGTGCAGTGGTTTTGAAAGATCCAAAATCCAACATCGTTTTTAACGACCTGATGTATACCAAATTGATTCGTTTGTGCTGGCTTCATGGTCGTAAGGTAAGTCTTCCTGACCTTTCACAGATTATTGCGTAGGGTGTCCCTACACCCGAATGTCGTAGCTTTGGTTGGGTCTAAGAGGAGTGATGAGGTGATAAGTTATTTATAGTTTGTAGTATACGATGCTTTAAGACAGTGTCGCTCCTGTGAATGGAGTTGATCCTTTCACTCGTTAGTCGTCCGGTTTTGTTCGGGTTTTATCATAATTATTTCATATACTTTATTAAACACAAGAATAAATCCTCCAGTATCTTCACCAAGTTTTGTTTTAGCACTGATCTACGTTGAAAAAAGTGGTTTAGTTTCCGATTTTCGGTTGAAGACTACAGGCGTGTATTTTCACTGAAAGATGTAATAATAATAACGTATATTTTCATATAAACATATAAATTTACATGAGAATGCATGCCATTTTTACATGCACGATAAAGTATGATATAGTATCAAATCGTAGATTGTCTACAAGTTAATAATGTTTCAACCGTTAAATATTTGATATATATGTATATAAATACACTCATTGTCTGTACCAGGCCATATAGTTATTAAATCTTACAGTTGTCCTCCAGGTTCCGTGGGAAAATCGACTTCGTTTCGTTTTCAATCCGTGGTTGTAGGCATACGATAACCAACCAATATTGAGGTAAGTACAACGTTTACGAGGGATTGAAAGCTGTTTTAGAAAAGTTAAAGTGCTAAGGTGAATCATTAAAGTGTGATGAAATAAGTAAGTACAATATATCATTGATAAATGCATTTATAAAGGAAAATCCCCAGGCTGACAACGTTCATTTACAATGTATAATGATACCCATATATGTCTTACTACCATGACGTCCACTTTTGGTTTTAAAACATTTATCCTCATGCCGGTATTTTTATTTTATACCTTTTTGTGCATTTGGTGCACAATCGCACCCTACAGAGAATAGGAATAGAATGAGTTTAATCGAATTCATATAGAGCTATAAAATGTTAGGTTTAATGGATATAATGAGGATCAAGTAAGGACGTTATTAGAAAATAAATTAGATGGGACGTTGCAAAGTAATATTCAAAGATCCGACAATGGACAGCAAGTTAATTTATAATATGCCTCATAAATCTGTGTAGAGCCCACCTGGTCGCATCTCAACAATAGGCTGAGAGAATGGTATGTGTTCAAAGGCGGAAACATGATCTGTCTAGGCGTCCATTTTTATTCATTCATCTTTTTCAAGATAAAGATCTAAGCCTCCATAAAAATCAGAAAAATCTCGAGCCGTCAAATTGCATATTACTGTTCCTGCAGAATGGGGCGATTCATCATATGTGTACACTGACTGTAACGAGCATAATACATTTTCTAGGGTGGTACTGGTCATTCTTTATCTTGGGGGTAATAACCACATCACTCCTAATCCGACGGTAGAAAAGTGTGAAAAGATCTCATTTCTTCAGCCATTCATCATATGGTTTATTCTACAGACACATTACTCATCTCCACCTGTTGTTCGATATTTTGAAATCGATTAGTGTACCTTTTAAGTAACAGAACACAGATAACGGTTTGCGCATCTTAGGCATAATATCAGAAAAACCTCAGGAGAAAGGGTGCAGGAGAAAAAGAAGTCCATCAACTCAATTGAACCTCATCACTTTCACGAGCAAGTTTTTATCAGTGAGGCTGACTTGTCGCTACCATCTAACGCGGCTGGAACTGAAGAGCAGAAATATCTAATAGCAAGCATTAGCATCGCTCCTAAAAACTCTACATATGGTTCTCACATATATACCTTCACTGCATCTAATGTATTTGTCATCAAACTCTAGATACCAGGTCCAGCTTCAAAATTCACCTCAGGAATATAAAAATTAAAGCTATCTGTAGATGGGCTGAAGGCTGAGATACGGGAAATAAAGTGTCGGATGTTCAAAATATATGGCCAGTATATCTGAACTGTCAGCACAGATTAGTAACATAAAACTTCGGGTATGTAAACTTACACCTCTGAACATCCCGACCAGAACCATAAATCCTGGAGCGTCGGTGGCACAGCGGTTAGGACTGTAGCCGAGCATGCACATGGTCCGGGGTTCGAGCCCACGGCGACGCACACCTGATATCTATGGTTGGCCTGCGAAACTTGGGCTACCGATATCCACGCTGAGAATTCCATACTTGTACCAAATATACAGTGTGGAATCAATCTGTAAACAAAAATTAAAAAAAACATGTAATCAGTAACTAAGGCAGACATCCTGGTAAACTTCATCACAACAAAGGTTATCAAAATACTAGTTACAAAACTAAGTGTGATATTTTACAATATGTCAGGTGATGAGGGGGTAAAATAGGTCCAAGACATCTAACTTAAGGCGTTGAAAATGCCCATGTGCCGTAGACTGGAAAAGAGTCAGCACGTCCTCAGTCTAAAACACAGACAGAGGCTGAGAAATTAATCGATTTGCAACATATCCTATTACAGGATACGAGCTACAAACAAATAAAAGTTGTAGCATATAAGACAGTGACTGTAAGGCACTCTAACGATAACCTCACTAAACCTAATGGCATAAGGATAAGACACTGCAAGTCACCAAAATAGATAAACCCATGGTCAACATGGTAGAACTCCAAGTCTCCCTCCCTCACAAGCCTCACAAAATTAGCTCCACAGGATACGATACCAGCCGAAAGGTTAATGGATTATAACCTCCCTCCTAATGTGGTCCTCCCACCCTCTGCTGTGGATCTAGGTATGTCTCAGGACAACCTAAAGACAGATACCAATACTGCTCGTAAGTTGACATCTTCTCATAGTCATGACGCGAGAGTTAAAGAGGAATTCCGTAGCTGAGATTTCCGGAATATATTACCCGTAACCAAAATACCACTACATTCACAACAACCTTGCGAGAATAATCCTTGCAGGAAAGCAAATATGACACAAAACTATACTAACAAGAACAGAATAGTAGAAAAAGGACCGGACTCTCCAAGGGAAATAACACTACAACATACTAAAATAATATGCCAAAACACATTCAGGCCCACACCAATGAAGCTGATGTCGCAACGCCATCTACCAAGATGGTACAAGTGGCAATGCTGAGTGCTCAAATACCAACCATTGTGTGTCAGTGTAGTTGAAGATTGAACGATCAATTCATGGTTATTTGCTCAAACCCGAATCCTCCATATTTGCCGCGAGTCATCAATCCGGCAGTCATCGTCTCATCGGTCGCTGTTCAAAGGAAGATAAAAAACTATCAGAAGTATTATCGTGATTTATTGTTATAGCATTTATTCTTAGACCCTGTGTAATAACTTTATCGTTGTTTATATGTTGGCATAAGAATAAAGGATTCTTGAGTCGCCAATCAGTGTTCTGATTTTCGCGTTGGTTATTGCGATTTGTTTCTGAAAGTCTTCGAGTGACAGCGTGAGGTCCAGCGTAGCAAGAGCTGGACATTTACAGTTCCTGAGAGTTGGCTGACACCGGGTTTTCAAAGCATGACACATACAAACTTTGATACATTTGGCACACGTCTCCCGGAAATTAAACCACAGTGCACCAATGCATATAACAAAACCAAAGTCAGGTCACTTTGAATGTCTCGAAACAATAGGCAGATTAATAAGCCACTGGCATCACAAGGTACCAATGATTTTTTATCCACCACATCCATATCAGCGCTAACCAAACAACTGGTGGGGATGTTAGCTCTTCGGAACCTGTACTGCCAATGTCGGTTCACTATCCGGAAGAAAACAGAATTATTAATCACATCCAATGCTTGTGCAAGCATACGTTATATAAGAACTCCTACCCAAGTCTCCAACCTACCCAAGCCTAGAACTACCTCATCCTATAGTGAATCCAATAATAAAACCCATTATTCACTAAAAAAAAATAGATAGTAACAGTAGTTGCAGCAAAGGGTTGTCATGCCATGCGGAACCAGTGGATGCCGATCCACACTCAAGTCTTATTGACGAGCTTAAATACTTCAAACACTACTCCAACTCTCAACTTGACTTAATCCTTATTAATGCTAGATCTACCCTAAACAAATCGCCGATGTTCGGGGCAAGCACACTGGTATATAAACCCCCGATAATCCTGGCGTCACTCCAATATACCAGACGAGGAGTTAAGCATAGATGGATACACACACTTTCGATCTGACAGGAACACTGGTAAGGGATGAGACTGTCTAATGTACTTCTTGAAGAAACATACCATATTGCAGCTATAAAACAGGGAACTCAACGACATGCACGACACCCTATAGATCAACGTAAAATTCAAAAGTGCTGTTTTGATGGGGTTGTGTTCTCAGAGCTGGACGGTTGATTTGCGAAGCTTCCATCACCCCACTGGGTGACATCTTCAGCGCATACTTCAGTTTGAATTGAGCTTTTAGATTTCTCCACGAGTTTATTGATCATCTCTCCTGGTGACCTTGGACGTGAAGATGTCACACAGTAGGGTGATGAAAGCTTCGCAAATCAACCATCCAGCTCAGAGAACACAGCCACATCAAAATCATTCACCTCAGATAAAAATCGTCTCTATCACATCAAAAGTGCTGTCAA